TAGAGATGTAATCTAGTGTACTTCTTGAGTCTCTATAAATAGAGCTCATTCTGTTGTATCTAAGATGGATAACTTACGCATCTATCTATTCTGAATACACTTCTCAAGTTATTATTTCTATCTCTCTATGTTACTACGCACCACTTCTTACTCTCAAATATTACTAGAATACAACTGATTATAACCTCTCTTCTGAGCAAGTCTTTCGTGACTTAATCACTAAGTTTGATCTTCTTTATTAACTCGGTTTGAATGCATTCCTTCTTATGAATCAACTTATGTGTATACTTGATATAACAATTGTTGTCATTTCTATTTCTTTACTTTCCGCACCTAACTCTCTAACTATCTAATTCTAACTTATTAATATTATTGTTGAGCTTTTAGATCCTTAGAGATTAACTATTCCGCAATACACTTGTTCTAACGTTTCTTCAAGTGTGTCTCTAAGTTTTTCTCTCAACAGCCGAGAATGAGGTTGAGTTACAACTCTTAACAAAGTTTTGGAGACATCTAAGCAACGAAGATGTTATAAAACTTTTCCTATATGATCTGGAGGTGGTGCCGCCTCAAGTGAAAATTAGTGGTTTATATTCTAAAGGGTCATGAAAAAGATTTATAGCGCATGGCTATATTAACGCTCAGGAAGAACGCAAAGACGACATGTGATGTGTGGGGGTAAACTAGAGAGGTCACAAGCTTCATAATTTAAACCTATATGGATATCACTGAATTGACCTCTTCTTGTTTCTTGTCATTAAACTAGGGTTTAATCTTCGTGACACCCAAGTGAGATCATGTGCCTGAGTGAAAGGAAACTTTCCAATTTGGTATGGGATTGCTGGAAATTATAGAGGTAATCTTGCAAGTTGGCAAGTTTCCCCTATCCCACATTCGTGGGGGAAGAAACTTTGTGTACGTTTATAAGTCTTTTCCCTTGATAGGCCTTTAAAGGCCTTATAGGATCAAAGGAATGGGCCAAGCCCACACACGTGCGCCTAGCTTAGCCTAGCACTAGTCGACGCCGCTAGTGCGCGAAATGGCGCGATTTAGGCGCACTTGACACTTCGCACGTGTGACAACCCGTTATTCTCGTTATTGTAAAAGTCGAACTAAAGTCAAACTTCTTATTTTGATCTATCTTATTTAAAGTGGATTTAAATTCTAGATTGGTTAAAAACCTTTAATTAGAAGTGTTGCTTGAATTAGAAGTGAATTAAATGGAACCGAGAACCTTCATCCGAGCCGCAAACCCTCACATGAACCGCAAACTCACTTTGGACCGCAAACGTGCGAGCCTTCGTTTTCAGCCGTAAACATCCCGGCCTCAAACTCCGCTCTTATCAATTCGGTGTGGAAACCAACGAAGGCGTCCCATCAGTTTTGACCTTATATGGGGGCTGAACCATGAACTCCTCCTCACTTCTTCAATTCCAACCGAAAACACACCCTTCACACTCAAGTACACCAACCGAAAACCCACGTTTCTCTCTCAACTATCATCCTTCCTCATTTGAATCTTCTTAGGATCTTGCTTGGATCTTCAAGTGTTCTTCATTCATCAAGATCATTGGGCCGTAAACCCTTGAATCTCCTTCATTTCTTCAAGAACACTCAACCGTGAACGCAAAAACACCAAGATCTTCTTGGGCCGTAAACTCCAAGGCTGGCCGTGAACTCCTAGCAGCTTTCCAAATTGCTTCTAACACTTCTATTTTGTGAGTGAAACTTACAAGATTAGGCTTTTTCCTTAACATACTTGCTAGTAATTCACTAATTATGTACATATAGATTGTGTTAAATGCTATTAGGACTCGATTTTGTTACGGGAGCTAACTTGTGGAAATAACATCCTATATCGAACCTCCAATCGAATCACCCACATAAGATGAGTTCATATCCCTGCAATTTACCTTTTTCAATGTTTTAGGGGGGAATGCAAGTAGAACACAATTTAATTGTGTTAACATTTACATGTGAAAACAAACAAACAAAGGATTTCTTATGCTTATAAATATTGTTAAAAATCATTTTTAAACTCTTTTAAACTATTTTAGATTTCTGTTTATATCAAAATCAAATTCATTTGTATATTTATGTATAATCATGCTTTAACGGACTTAGGACTATTGCTAATACCTTAACTCATGTTCCTTGTTTGGTTGTAGGCTTAAGGTAGGATCACCGGTCCGACCGTCGGTTAAATCGTAATTATACATACTAAATATATACATGAATATTAAATTTCATTTTCAAAGAACATACTTAACTAAATTGCATATGATGGGCAAATGAGTCTTTTCTCCAAATCATTTATAGTTCAAACAAACATACTAGTAAACAATAATGGGTATAGTTTAGAGAATTAGTTCATACTATTTTCTAGATCAGAGAAAAAATTACATGAACTAATACATACACATTAATACAATTACAAACAAGTTTACAAACACGTTAGGACACAACAGTTTTCATAAACAAAACGGAAACAAACTTATAATTTATAATGAGTATAGTTAAGGGACAAACGAAACTATTTTTACAAGGTTATATGTTATAAACAAAAATGATTCTCAGTTATTACTCGTAATACGTTGAAATAGTTTGTGAGTCATTTTTATGTACTTATCTAAGTACGGGTAAAAGTCATGAGCTTATAACCAGAGTCTCTTGTAGGGAGAGCGATGACAATTGTGTATAGATCTATGTTGGGACTGACAATCCCACATCCCGACCGTTAGCTACAGTCAGGTTGTCAGGCCTGGGATGACAAATGTTGTTAACAGTTTTGACGCCTAAAAAACATCGTTATCAGGCAGACAGGGTCAGTATGGTTATAAGAACTCACAGGGAGAAAATCCCGACCTAATTACGAGTAACATATATATTCAAATAACTCCATTTAAATTAGTTATCTTACAGTGGTGTTATTTTTAAACAATACTACTGCAAGTTATTACCTTCCATTATATGCATACAGAAAGGTTCATACATGAACAGGCATACTATTTTACTAGAAAGGATAGTCTACGATTATGGAAAACATACATTATACAATTTCAGAGTACAAACATACATTATACTAGTACAGAGAACAAAACATATAAACATTTGGGTCTTAGGGTTGAAGACTCATTTTCATTTATTATAGAAAATATGAGATTTTCTGGAGAACATAAACTAATACTTTCATAGATCAAGTACAAACATTTGGGTCTTAGGGTTGAAGACTACTTTTCATTTATTATAGAAAATATGAGATTTTCTGGAGAACATAAAGTATACTTTCATAGATCAAGTACAAACATTAAATAATAAATACTTATGAACTCGCCAACTTAAATGTTGATACTCTCTTTCAAAATAACTTGTATTCTCAGGGAATCAGTCGACAGGTACGCTAGTACAGGTTTCGAGAAGACGGAGCATGTTCAAGACTCGTCTTTTATTTTTGCTATACTTTTAGTGTCATACAACTATACAATGAACACACATGTGTTAACTATATTATTAATGCAATGGATGTTGTTGCTTGTTTTACTATTTTACATTTGTTGTGATACTGAGCATGACGTCATCCGCTCCCGGACGTTTCCGCTGTTCTGGTTTGGGAGTGTGACAGCACGACGCATCGGTCGTTGGGAGCTGAGGAGCTTTTATTTTGGCGAAGTTCGGGTCAAGTCGGTTTGACCGATCTGGTCAAACGGTTGACTTCGTAAATATGGAACAGAATATTCTAGAAGGGTTAGAAAAACGGCTAGCTTGGAAAGCAAGTCGTCGCCCTAGGGTTTCCATGGGCCGACCCATGTGGGCCTATTTTCTGCCTTCTAGGGTTTCGATGCCTATAAATACAGCTCCGTGGGAGCCGTATTTGATACTCATGAAAATTGAAAGCTCTCTCATTTTCTCTGCGATTTCTTTCCGGTTTCTCAGTATTCACTTTGCGTTTATCGTTTTCCATTGTTGTTGGAAACTCGGTAAATCTGCATTAAATCTCGGGGTTTTACTCTGTTGCTTACAATCGATAGAAGCGAAGTAAAAACCTTTAAGGACAGGAGTTCGATCTGCGCAGTTATTCAACAATCAAGATCCAAGAGCAGCCGTCAAGATGTTGCTTTTACATTATTGTTTTGTTTGTTAATTTCGTCCAATAACAGGAAACTTCATTCTACATTTCTTATAATCAGATCTAATCAAGAAGAATTAATCTGATTTCTGGATGAAACTTGGTAATCATATTAATAATAATTGGATCTATTATTCGCAACTAATCTAAATATAATTTTCAATATTATTTGTGGGTTTCCTTGCGTGTCTATTGGTTTGTTTTACAACAAAAGCTCTTGGAGCAGATAGATTCAAGTTCCTTCGTAGCAAGTTGGGTGTTCGTGACTTACACAATCCAACTTGAGAAGGAATATTGAGATTAAAGATAATCGTTATCTTCAACTTAAGAGGGAATATTGAGATTCAAGATAATCGTTATCTTTTAGTTATTTATCCTTTTCCTAGTATTTATCGTAATATTTGATTGTATTTAGAATTCTTGTTAAACTTCTATTTAAATACCCCTCTTTATTCGTTTTCTTTGAATAATAGAAGAGAAAAACGTTTTTCTATTCCATATTTTATACATGTTAGCATATTTATGAAATACACAAATTAATCTAAACATCAATCATGGACAAAAGCTACAGTTGACAGAACACGAACAAAATTCAAACAGTAGCTACAACACGTTTATCGTATAATTAATTCTACAAATTGTATTCTTTGACTGACAAAAGTCAACAAATTCAATTCAAACGGTGCCATAGCCACAAGAACATCTTAACATATCTACTCACAAACCAACCACCAACATACATTCATTGCATACTAGTATTTTCAAACGGGTAATGCCCAAAAGTAGAAACAAAATAATAATACCCCTAGAAGAAAAAGTAAAAGTACTAAAATGCCCTTATCCTGGATCCAAATTTTCGTCAAACTATCAAAGGTTAAGATAAGCAAACATTCATCAATCTATCAATGATTTCAAGAAGCTTAAGAGGGGCAGTGAGTTGAGGAAAATGTCCCACGGTATCAATCATCTCAACAGTTGATTCTCCCTTGATCATCTTCATCATGTACTCAACAACTGATAATGGAACAACAATGTCGTTTGTTGTTTGGACTATGGTGCATGGGATTACAACCTTTTCAAGAATGTCACAATGGTCCGATAAGAATACAGTTTTAGCTGTGGAAAGACCAATATCAGGTTTCATTCTTTTCAAACATTGTTCAAAACTGCTAACAGATTCAGAGTCATTCTTATCGATAACAAGTGAAGGAAAGATGGATGCCCATCCATAGTAGTTTGACTCTATACTTGAGAATAGTTGTTCAATGTCTTTGATATCAAATCCACCTTCATAGCTTTCTGAATTTACATACCTAAATAAACATAAAATTAACTGAATTTAATATATATATAAAACTTTCTTTTTGTTTATTAATTAAGTCAATATCTAAGTAAAAAAATGCATCGTGATCATGGCATGAAACATGTACAACAAACACTTAATGCTTTGAATTGTAATCAGGATTGTCACGCTATCTAAAATAATATCTTAAAATATTAACTGCTGACATATCCGATAACATTTCTTACATAAACAAAAAAGGTCTGTATTGTAAAGGAATTTATTATATTATTAAATCTAAACATTTATATATTATAATTATGCATACAAAATCGATATTAAATATGGCACTATTGACATGTTTAACTAAGTTTTCTTTTGTCAATACATAATAATTGAAGTGGTCACAACTTAGGTTTTTGCTGTTTGGTCTCTTTCTATTTCATTTTTAAACTTCTGCGATAAGGACCAAAGTGTTATCTATTCAATGCGCAAGATACTACAATCTAATGCATGCTGACTTTGACAATTCCAACGTCTAATCCTCCTCTCTTTATCTTTTCACATTTAATATTGCATTTATTGTCACTGTGGTCGTTGGAAATCTTTTTACAACATCAGAAATTATATATTTTTGTACAGTACAAATAACGATCAAATTTCGTTTTCTCGTTAAATTTCCATGCATATCCATGTCTCCGTAAAGTCAAAGGGAAACTTTTACAAATATA